AGGAGACCAGCACCTTTCTGGAGGAGAATAGCCATTGTTCAGGTAGAAAGGCAGCAGGGATGTTGGGGCAATTCAGTGTGATGTACATATGAACATACATGTATGAATGAACATGCATGAATATCTGCCTCCTGGACAAAAGCTGCCAGGGTGGTGGAGACTTGCTGCAGAACATGTACCTTGGCATCCCCATCCAAAAAAACAGTTGCAGCCTCTTGAGCAGCTGCCTAAAAGCATCAGCAGTTTAATAAGACTCCAAGACAGAGCATGGGGCAGAGCAGCTGGAAAAATTCAGAGTTCATTACTTTGCAACTCTTTCTGGCTTAGCTCCTGCTAACAATTCCCTTGATTCTGAAGAGAGTATTTGCGGTAAAAAGACTTTTAAAAAGATTGCTTTTACAATGTCAGAGCAAAATTATGGAAAGAAGAATAGCTGCTATTTTTGAAAGCAAAGCATAATAAGAATGAAATCTTATACACGCTTAGCTGGGAGTGAGTCCTATTGAAATCAGTGGTGCTTATTCCTGAGCAGGCATGTCTAGCGATTGTGCTGTAAAATATCTTGGCATTGTTATACAAAAACGTGCTCTGAGGCTTTCCCCCTTTTCTCTTCTCAGAAAGAAGATCCTTAACAATTGTCCTCCTTCCCTCACGCAGAGCACCTATTAGCATTCACTATTTTTTCGTGTTATTGAACATGATTGTACAGAAATGCTATTGTGCGAACTTTCCCTAGATTGCTAAGGTTGCAGTGTAACTGATACAGACTCCTCATTTCCCTCCTTTACCAGAATATTTCGTTCTGTTCTTAACAGCTCCCAAATATTCGAGGTTTAAGCTCTTGGGGCACTCCCGCTGCATTGGACGACGTGTTGAAAAAAAATCCAAACCCGTCATGAGTTTTGCACAGTAATCTGTGTAGACAGAGCGAAGCTTCTGTGATGGAGGTCATGGGGAGTTCAAGGCTGCTGACAAGGGCCAATTTCAACAGGCTGGGGGGGGGGGGAAACCTGACACCGCTGAGACTCTGTACGGGATCCAATTAACGTGTAGGGGGTGATGGCTGCAGAACCACATGCAGCACAGAATATTCTAGAAGGCTCCACGGATATGGTGTAGAATGACCTATTTGTTGCACCAGCAAGAGACAGGAAAGAGAGTTGTCTGTAGGCGTTAGTATCAGTCTAGACAGGATATGTTCCATTTACCTGAGACCCTTTCAGCAAAGAACGCCTCTGCTCAGAGACCTGTGCTGCTTCAAGGTCTTACTCTCAGTATATAAAGCCCTTAACAACTTGGGACCAGTTTACTTGCAGGATCGCCTTGCCCCCACATGTGCCGACGCAGCCACTTCGACCTATGGAACTGGCACTATCTAACGCGGGTTGCGCTGTGGTTTAAACCACAGAGCCTAGGACTTGCCGATCAGAAGGTCGGCGGTTTGAATCCCCGCAACGGGGTGAGCTCCCGTTGTTCAGTCCCTGCTCCTGCCAACCTAGCAGTTTGAAAGCACCTCAAAGTGCAAGTAGATAAATAGGTACTGCTCCGGCGGGAAGGTAAACGGTGTTTCTGTGTGCTGCTCTGGTTCGCCAGAAGCGGCTTAGTCATGCTGGTCACATGACCCGGAAGCTGTACGCTGGCTCCCTCGGCCAATAAAGCGAGATGAGCGCCGCAACCCCAGAGTCGGTCACAACTGGACCTAATGGTCAGGGGTCCCTTTACCTTTAATGTGCCATGTAATACTTGTTCCACATTTGTAAGAAATTGATCTGGTCTTGCAGCACTTGCACTTTGGAACTCCCTGCCTATTGACATATACCCTCCAAGGGTCCCAATTTTCCCGGGACAATCCCAGAATTACAGAATTCGTCCCAGTTTCTGATTTGATCCCAGAATGTCCCGGTTCTCCTCCCCGCCCCCATCCCATCTCAGAGAACAGTTACAAGTGGTGGGGTGTGTAGGTACAAAAACAGAGTCCTGTTTATGCTGGAAATAAAATGCCTGCACCCAATGGAGGAAATGGTGAAGCTGGCATATGAAGCCCTTCCTAATTCTGAAGGAAAAGGTCACCAATCCACCTTAGATTCTTTAATTGCAATGCTTTGGCAGCTGGCCATTTCTTAGGAAATGTGTGGAGTGCTTATTCCTTTAGTGCAGATGGAGCCTTACATTGTGCACTCTCAAGTAAGTCCCATTGTATTCAATGGAGCTTACTCCCAGGCAACTGGGTAAAGACTGTGCAGCCTTACACTGCCATCCTAAGCATTTTTACTCACTCCCACTGAGTTGAATAGGATTTACTCTCTGGTAAATTCCTGATAATTCTCACTGTTGTTGTTTGTTACCAACCTTTTTCCCTGATAGGGACTCAAGGCAGCTTACAGCTAAAAAATCAGTTCCATTTATCTGTTGAAGGTGTTGTACATGATCCCTTCCCTCACACATTTTTGATTTACAACAATATTGTGAGGTAGGTTAGGGCGAGAGGTTGTAATTGGCTCAAGGTGACAGATTTATATGTGTGTATTACTACAGGTTAGTGCAGACCAGGAGTGGGAAACCCAAGGCCCTCCAGATGTTGATGGACTCCAACTCCCATCAGCCTCAGCCAGCATGGTCAATCATGAGGGATGATGGGAGTTGTAGTCCAGCAACTTCTGGAGGGCAGCTGGCGCCCCCATCTCTGTTGTAGACATTACTGAGCTAGATGGATGGACCAATGGCCTGGCTCACGATAATGTTCCTGTGTTCAAATTTCATAGTTCTAATGGCATACTTCTCAGCTATTTCAAATCAGATTGTGCTGGCTTAGTTCTGCTCCACAGCTGCTGCTGCTGCTTCTGCCGCTTGAAGTTTGTACAGTCAAAGTATCGGTTTCTAACTTGTTTGTCTTGAAACACACAAACCAGCTTTTAGAACAGCAGCTGCACACTTTCTATCAGCCCCTCAGATGAGGGTAGCCAGTTGGTTTTAGGGCCACTGATGTCTCTGCCGTCCTGGAGAATGGATGAGTTTGCGACGTCAACTCATTTTTGGGAATGACTTTATCGTGGGCTGCATATATTTGCTCCTTTCCTTTCAAAACTGGGAAAGCGCTTTGGAAAGCTGAGCACTTACTCTGATTCCCCAGCTTGAAGTTTTACGCTAGGTTGACTTTCGCTGAGAACAGTTTTAAGATGCCCCAGTTGTTCTCTTTTGCTGGTGGATGTGGGAGAGAGGGAGCAATAAAGTATGATTTCTCCCTCGCCTGCAGTTAACCCCATGGAAGTGTATTTCCAGGGAGATTACCTTCCCATTCCAAATCTCTTCTTGTCTGGATGTTAACAATTAATCACCATTGGTTCCACCTTCTTCCTTAACTTCGTCCTTCTCCACCAGCTGCTGCTCCCTTTCCTAAGAAGAGTGCTGTTGGCTGGGTCAGGCCAAAGGCACATGGAAGCCCTCAACTTCAGGATCCTGCAACCACAGCGGCCAAGCAGATGCCTAGAGGAAGCCCACAAGCAGGACCCTCAGCGCAACAGCACTGACCCTGTTACTAAGTCCCAGCAACTACAGTCCCCATGAGTGGTATGGTGCTGCTTCAAATGTATAGATGCCGTCCTCCCAAATGGGTGAGACTTTTCCTCTGCTGTCCCAATGGGCATGACTAGATCTAATGGGCTTGAGTGAAAGCAGAGCAGATTTTAGTTGAACATTAGGAAGAACCTCTTTACAGTAAGGGCAGTTCAACAATTAACCGGAGTGTGTGTGTGTGTGCTTTCCCTCGCTGGAAGTCTTCAAGCTGCACCTGCAGAACCCCCTGTTGGAAATGCCTTGGGCTGGCCCTGTGGAGGAGTGGGATGGGTTGTCTAATCCAACTTGCTGCTCGCTGCAAGAAATTCAGAGTCTAGAGCATTCATCCCGTTAGGAGACACCCCATCCCGAAGCTGAAATTCTCAGAGTACTAGAACCAATCAATCCCTCTTCCTAGGGAACTCAAGTGAAGAGGAGTTTGGATTTGATACCCTGCTTTATCACTACCCGAAGGAGTCTCAAAGCGGCTGACAATCTCCTTTCCCTTCCTCCCCCACAACAAACACTCTGTGAGGTGAGTGGGGCTGAGAGACTTCAGAGAAGTGTGACTAGCCCAAGGTCACCCAGCAGCTGCATGTGGAGGAGCGGAGACGCGAACCCGGTTCCCCAGATTATGAGTCTACCACTCTTAACCACTACACCACACTGACTGAAGACGGTTGGAATATCATTATTTTTATAGCATATGTCAGATTATGATGATTCTTCCCATCACCACCCCTGTTACATTTGCAAGAATAAAATGCATTAAAATAAAATAAAATCGAGGTGATCTTAATGCTAGTATTTTAAGTTTTGTATGTTTTGAAGTAGGGCCATGAATTCCCCACATTTTATCATTACCATTATTATTTATTACATTTCTTAGTTGCTTTACTCGCAACCAAAGAAACATACAGACAATGACCTCCCCGACCGAATACATTACAACCAAGAGGAAAGAGATATGCACTTATTTATCATTTTACAGCGTGACCTTTCAGGTCTGTGTGTGTGTAGTTTTTTTAAAACAAACAAACAACCAAGCCGGGTATTAAATTGCATGAAATAAATAAATATTATATGAAACGAAAAAAAACACAACTGCCTTGCGAGGTAGGCTGGGGCTCACACAGATACCCATATCCAGCTTCCCGGGGATTAAAGGGAGGGATTTGAACCCGGCTCCCTGCGCACCCTCACTCTGACGAGAGGTACCAGCACGGGCTCCCCTCCCCCGCCGCACCCCCGGTTCCATCTCAGCCAATCCCTTCGCCCGGCCACCCCTCCTCCTCCTCCCGCCCACCCCGTCCTCCTGCGGTTGCGTCCTCGGAGCCCGCTTCGCGCTTTTGTCCGCAGGCGGCTGCCGTAGCGAGCGGGGCGCGCGCGTGCCTGGCGCCGCCACCACCACCGCAGCGGAAGCTCCTCCCACTTCCCTTCCTCCTCCTCCTCGTCCTCCCTCCCCTCGCCCGCGGCGGCATCTGGCCGGTGAATCGGTCCGTCAGCCCCGTCAGCGAGCGAGCGAGCGAGCGAGCGTCGGGCTGCGTAGGCGCGAGAGGAGAGCGGAGGGCCGAGCAACGCTGAGACTCCCGACGCGCCATGGCGGCCGAGCTGAGCGACATGGCGGAGCCTCCCCCGCTGGGGGTGCCGCCGCCGCCTCCCCCTCCCTCTTCATCGGGCGCTGAGGAGGCCGAGAGCGAAGCCTCCCCTTCGGCCGAGATGGAGGCCGAGCCGTCGCCGTCGCCGCCGCTGCTGCTGCCGCCGCCTCAGCCCCTCCTGAGCGGCGGCGAAGGCGCGGAGAGCATGTCGGAGCCGAGCCCTCAGAGCGCCAGCCAGGCGGGCGACGGCGACGACGAAGACGAGGGCGACGACGAGGAGGAGGACGACGACGACGACGAGGCCGAGGCCGGCAGCAGCGCCGGGTCCTCCTCCTCCTCCTCCAGCGGCTGCTGCAGCGACGAGACCCGCTCGCTCAGCCCCGGAGGCAGCGAGGCCGACGCCAAGGCCGGCCCGGGAGGAGGAGGAGCAGGAGGCGGAGGGAGCGCGGGCGGCGGCGGCGGCGACGGGCCCGGGAGCAGCGGAGGAGGCGGAGGCCCGGCAGCGGCCGGAGCGGCGGCTGGAGGCGGAGGCCCGAGCGGCGGCGGCGGCGGCGGGTGCAACAGCAGCTCCAGCGCGGGCGGAGGAGACGAAGGTTACAGCACCGGGAGCGGAGGAGGGAGCGGCGGCAGCAGCACCTGCAGCGCCTCGTCGACAGGCCGGAGGGGCAGCCTCGAGATCTCCTCCGACGGGGAGCCGCTCAGCCGCATGGACTCCGAAGACAGGTCGGTTGGGGGGGGGGGCGAGAGGGTGCGCCCGTTCTTATCTCTCTCAAGTTTAGGGGCCCCCGGGGTGCAAGTGATCACAGTGGGGACTCGTGGTAAAGGCCGGGGCAGGGTGTTGGTGTGTGCCCCAGCCCCTTGAAATGTTAATTTAGCCTTTAAAAATCAGGACGCAAACTCTCTTAAAAGCGGATTACGCCCCCGGCCCAACGCCAACCCTCAGCATCTTTCCGCTTCCACCCCACGCCGCTCCATTTTTTGCGGTGCCCCCTTCCCATCTGCATCGTCTCCCATCTTTGTTCCAGTTTCAAAAGTTCCAGAAGTTAAGTTGCTTCTGCTTCACTTGGCAGGACTTGCCCTTGGCCTGAGCATGGCTCCTCCATCTTGGACAGGGAGGGGGCTTTTAACCCCCCTCTTTTTCTTCCTAGGCATGTACAGCAGTGTTGCCCAAAGTTGGGTCTCTAGCTGTTTTAGGACCACAGTTCCCAAACCAAACCAAAATGTTTATTCGGCTTTACGCCCATCATAAAGCACAACACACAAAACAAATCAAATAAAACAGCGGTCTCGAACAAGCCACAAGTAATATAACACAATTCACAGCTCACAAGGACAAATATTGGCAAATCAAAACAGAAATTTAAGATTAAAGTTAAAAATTAGGGCACTACGCTAAATCAATTTCTGATGTCAATATCAAAAATTCTTATAAGTATCAATAATCAGTTAACATTCCATTCCGTCTCTTGTACGAGAGAACGGCTGTTAGGAATTTAGCAACCTGTAGAGTAATATAAGGATCTACATCTTGAAGAACCCAGGCAAGCTGTAGGTCTACTGGTTTGTCAGCCATAGGCTGGATTATGGAGTTTAGTATACTAGCGCGAGCTAAACTGTACATAGGGCAGATAAACATAACATGGTGTAAAGATTCAGATGTTTTCATTTCACAAGCACACATTGAAGGGACTTGGCCCTTAGTGAATCTATGTCTCAGCACGTTTGTTGGGAAAACATTGAACCTGGCTCTAATGAAGGCATATCGGTGAGATGCGGCTATAAGCGATGTTAAGTAGGACGGAGCACGATAGATAGGGGTTATGCCGAGATTTAACGGGGAGCAGGCTCCACCACCAGCTAAGAAATTTTGGTATAGCTCCACATCATCCAGCCTTTGATTTATACACCTTTTTGCCGCGTTTAGATCCAGTTTGAGCAATTCCGTGGGCGAGATCTCATAGGACAGCAATTTGGCATGGATTTTTCCTGACCACAAATTTGTAAAGTCATCCCGCCACATGCATTGAATGAGATAGTGGTTCGGTAGTTTATGCCATAGGGATATCCAATAAATCAAAACTCTCCTCCATAAAACTAACTCCACTGAGGGGATCTTCATTTCTAAGCGAATAGCCGCATTACTTACGCATGTTGGTAGTTTTAAAAGTCGGCGTAAGAATTGGCTTTGAAGCGACTCTAAAGGTGAAAGGTTTGCAAAGGCAGCCCATAAAGGTGCAGCATAGGCCATTGTGGCCATCACTTTGATGCTATACACTTTCAAGGCCGCAGGAATGAATAAGGCCCCCTCAGAGTAGAAAAAACGGAGGAGAACCACAGTTCCCATCATCCCTGACCACTGCTTTGCTAGGCATGAGGAGAGTTGTAATCCAAAAACAGCTGGAGACCCAAGTTTGGGAAACACTGATGTAGACTAATTCCTGCAAAAGAATTGCTACTTGCTGCCCCAGGTGTGTCAAAAGTATTAAAAGGTTTCATGTGTGCCCATAGTAAGGTAGCACCAACAAGACTCCACCCTAAAACGCCTTTTCCTGTTCTTCCAAGGCAACTGGGACTTTATGTATTGCATATCCTCATCTGTCAGTGAGAGGAACTTTCTTTGGTTTTTCTGTTTGTCGGGATGATTGTGGCCTGTTACTACACAAATCCTCCTTTCCCCCATCTGGCTAGAAGCCAGGCCCCATGTAATCCATTGCTGGTTTGGGAGGAGTTGGTTTAGAGAGTCTTAGACACTCATCTTGTTGTAATCTCTCCCCTCATTTTTTCCCCCAACTCCTACCTTTTTTTACCACACCCTGTTCTAGCAAACATGGCTGTCTTAGCTCTGGAGCTTTTTACGTTTTTTTACACCTCTCTAAAGTCCTCCTCAAAAAGCAGCTTAGCTTGGGAAGTGGGGGAATGGTTTGCACTGGTTCCTCTTCTCCTTTACTCGCCCTTTAAGGGAGCAGCAAACACCTAATTGTGTGTATCAGCCGTGTAACTAACAAGCATATCTTGTAAAATTTACTAACACAAGTGGGTTTATGCAGCTTATGAAAACCCAGTTGTGCTTCTGAACAAAAGGGTATGTGTGTAAGAAATGCTTATATTGGCACAACAAGCTTCTGCATGACCAATGGTTCTTAGTTGTGTTCTCACAAGTGTATGCAGCAGATAGTTACAATCTGTTGGGATTTTGTTAAACTAGTTCTAGTGACTATACTATTTTAACTTGCACCTGTTTTTTGTTCAGTCACTCTATTAAATGACTAGTAACTGAAGGCAGATCGATTTCATGCAAACATGCAAGTTGCAGTGTGGATCCAGTATTTGAATTCTTAAGGCTAGTTCAGTTCCTAGGAGACAGTTGCTGACTAGAAGAAAACTTGAAGCTTATTAGATGCAAAATAGTTTGCATTTAAAAAATAATATAGTCCTGAAATATTAAAGTTCCTTAAAAAAATTACTTGGCCCAAGTCCCTGCAAGCCAGAATTTGCTAGCCTCCCCTTTTTTGTTGGGCTACATCGAGGTGGGGACATGGAAATCCTTGGGGGAAGTTGAAGTGTAAGCAAATTTTCCTTTTAATACTGTTACAATATAAAATGCAAACTTACTTAGTGCATAGCTATGTACTTACTGTTTTCAGTATTTATGAATTTTGCGGAGGAATCCTTTTCATATTTACTCAGAAGTAGAGCCCACTCTATTTAATGGTGAATATACCTCCTGGTTAGCTTGCATAGGACTGCTGCTTCAAAGCACAACTGCTTCAATGACATTGGTTTGTAAATTCCAAATTGTGGATATACCCAATAGTAGACAGAAAGAGCAGTACAAACTGCTGAGAACACACATCTTAGTTCTTGCTGTTTTGCACATTTCTTTACACATTTGTCACTTGAGATGTATATTTTTAAGGACCTACCTTATTTCTGTGATGTAGGTTGTTTTAAACCATTTCCCACACTAAGTTTCAGTTGTTGTATCCCACCCTGGAACCCTTGGATGAAAGGTGGGTAATAAAATATAGTAGTAATACATAGAGCACATTCTGAATAAGTAAAACTGTGTCTCAAAAGCATTTTGTTATTCAAAAGGAAAAGTATTTAATATTTCCCCTCAAATTTCCAGTTTTACCATTTGCAAATACTGAATGAAAGAAAAAGCCCTTGGGGATGGGGCAGGGGTGATAGTGGTGATGGTGATTTATTAAATTTTTATATACACCCTTCATCTGAAGATCTCAGGGCAGTTCACAAGATGGTTCCCCCTCCCTTGAATTTTTCCCACCTTCACATTTCTGTAAGTTGGAAATCTTTCAAAATTTACTCTTCTCTACTTCAGCTCTCTCTGATGGAAATATAATGCATGATGTGCCCCTTGATCTAAATAAGAGTGGAGGGTAGCAGCTCCTTGGGGGCATTGATGACTTACTGCTCAATACTGCATTTGGGAACACTTGTCTCTTCTTGCCACGTTTGTGTGATAGCTCAGGACGGCTGAGGCACTACATCTGGTCAGTGCCAGTAGTGGAGGCAATTTCCAGTATTTCCGAGGAATGGAGTTGCTGAAAGCAGAAGAGCATGTCGTATTCTGTTAAAATTAATAATACCTCATCTTAAATACATAACTTTAATGTTGATCCCAAATACTAAAAAATTGAGCCAAGTTAAATTCCATCATTATTTTTTCTATTTTCATTTTGGTTAATGTTCTGCTTATAAATGTTGCATTCTTCCCGGGGTGATATGGAGTCAGCAATTGCCTGTGGAAGTTTTTAATGCTGCATTTATCTAAAGTCAGCAATCCGTTTTAAGGTATAAATTTTTTTTTATAAGAAGCAGCTACTAAGTGGGCACTAAAATCTGCTAAAACAGCTTGCTTGTTTAATGTGCTTTAAACACACATTTATGGCTTCATAAAAGCCCCATAGGGCAACAAATCACATAATGAATGTTCAGCAGATTAAATATGCTTGGTGTACTCATCCCGATCCTTTGACGTTCCTCATATCCCTGTGCCTTTATATGTGAGCCATTTTTTATGCAGCTGACAGCTAGGTGGGTTTTGCTTTATAACTGTGAGAAACTCAACATGGCATTCAGCAGCTCATCTTTATCCTGCACATATTCCTGCACATATTCCAATCTTCATTGAACATTTGTTGTGATAAAGTTAAAAAAAACTCCATGTGCTGTTCCATCTGTTTTTCCTCATCTGTCTTTAACTTCTTAAAGTTTTCATTATGTTCTACAGTATGACAGTCGTACAGTCTGTTCGACTTCCGAAAACGTTCGACAACCAAGGCGCGGCTTCCGATTGACTGCAGGAGCTTTCTGCAGTTAATTGGAATCCGTGTCGGATGTTTGGGTTCCAAAGAACGTTTGCAAACCAGAGCGCTCACTTACAGGTTTGCGGCATTCAGGAGCCAAAACGTTCGAGTCACAAGGCATTTGAGATCCAAGGTACGAATGTACAATGGTTACAGACTAGCAGATGGAGATTGCTGTAAAAATGAAGGCTTTTTCATCTGTTTTATGTATACTTCAAGTGCATGTACATACATGTGCCTTTTAAAAAACCATTAAACCTTTTTGAAACTACAAATAAAAAAAACCAAACCCAGATGCAGAGGGTAAGTTATTAATGTAAGTAGCTTACCCACATGCCTTCTGAGCTTCACTTGCTCTTCATTAATAATCTAATTTCCACTTCTAGATCTTAATGAAAGTTAACTTTATTATAGACATTGAAAGCTCTGATGTGTGTCTCAGTATTTCAGATAAAAGTGGTATACATGGCTCTGAATCTTTTAGCCTTTATATGTGCCACAACCCCATCAAAAACAGCTTACTACGTTTTGGGGAAACTTAGGTTATGCTGCAGTATAGCTTGGAGTTCCCTGAAGCAGTTCAGACTGCTTGAATAAGAATCATTGGTTTGTATTCTCTGAACTAATCTTCCCTGTAGGCCCACTTTACTTCTGGGCCTCCCTGAAACTTTTTGGTTTGAGCTGAATGTTTTCCTGTAAGTGAACTGATTCCAAATACAAAAACATAACTTAGCACAACTGAGCCTAAAATGATTATGAGTTACCATAATCATTTGCAGAGGCTACTGTACTATCATTTCTCTATCTGTGGTTAAAATGGCATAGAATCCTTATCCATTGCATCTTCACAGTAATAAATGGCAATCGTTGCCCCAGTGCATTCATGGAAGAACTGGGAATGGATTTATACCTTAGTCGTTCTCATTCAAGGGCCTCTAGAGATACTGCTGTTGCTCTCAGACCTTGTATGTAGCAAGAGTGGTCAAAGGTTCATGTTCTCCCTTAGAAAAGACATCGACTACATGAGTGGTGTCACATTTATTTTAATTAACTTTTCTCCTGATGCTACTGTTACTTTCTCTGTGGAGTGAGGGAGTCGGGGAATCTACCATTTGGGGACCAGTGTCAGTCATGCAGCAAAAACTTACTTATTCTTAACAGTGAACAATGAATAAATTGCCTTTAAAATGTCAGGAATATAGATAATGAAGCAAGATACTTAAATAATGTACTTTTCCGTGTATTAGACAAGGGTTTTTTTTTTACTCCAAAATAAAGTTTAAAATGGGTGGAGTTCGTCTTATACGTAGGTAGTACAGAGGGGGAACGGGTGATTGGTTGTATCCAACAGCAGGATCTAGCGATTGGGTGGGTGAATGGTGTCTGCTGCAAGGGCTGCTTTGTATTGGCTGCTGCTTTGTCAATTGGGTGGATTATTTGTGGATGTGGCAAGGGCTGCTTTGGATTGGCTGCTGCTTTGGCAATTTGGCTTGCATTGCTTGAGATTGTTAGCGTTTGCTAGTTGGGTGAGTGATAGTTGGTTCGGCACTCTCCCCCCCACCCTTGCTCATTTTCTTAAATTTGAGGCCTCCCTAAATAAGGGCATCTTATACATGGGGGCCTCTTATAGATGGAAAGTACGGTATACTGAAGTAGAAAGTAATTTTTTTATTTTTTAACTTCCATTATTAGTACCAGCTTTAGTTTTCAATGAAAATGTATACAGATTGGCCTGACATTTCCTACACCAAAGTATCTTTCTTGTGCTTCAAATTGTCCATTTGAAGAATCGGAACCTTAATTTATTTGACGATGAAGATTTAGCATAAAACTCATGTTTTATGTAGTTTTTAAATGCTTTTTCTTGTATGTTCAACAGTACTCATATAAAGCAAATGTCATATGTACTAATCCAAAAAACCCAAAGACCAATTAGCTAAGAGCTAAGTATATACAGGAGCATAAAATAGATTTAAGACTAAAAGAACCTTGTCTCTTCAGTTTGTAAACCTGTGATTTTCACAGTGGTGTTCATTACCACATGATAATGAATTATTAGAATCACGGAATTTTAGAGTTGGAAGGGACCACGAGGGCCATCTAGTTCAACTCTCTGCAATGCAGGAATCTTTTGCCCAATGTGAGGTTCAAACCCTTAACCCTGAGATTGAGTCTTATGATCTGCAAAACTGAGCTATCTGAGGATATGTAATAGCAATATGAGGGAACTTTGAGTGTTCTGAGGTGTACACATTTGTGATGAATATGTCTATGCATATGACCAGGTGGGGAAAAGTTTTGGGGCTTTTTTGATGACACATATGTGAAATGTACTTATATGTAAGAATCAGAACTGTCTAGTGAGTCAAACCCTCTGCAGTGCAGGAATCTTTCACCTACCATGGGGCTCAAACCCACGAACCTAAGAGTTTCATGCTCTACCAGCTAAGAAGTAATGTTCATCCTTTTTGAATCTACATTTGAGTGCTTGAGCAGAGTGACATGAATGTAAGCTGCTGTCTTAACCAACCTTAATCCTTTTGGCTAACTGGTTTAGAGACCATGGAGTGCAAAGAAGCTCTGGTGCCATCAGCTTGCAGCAATCTGATGTCTTCAGCAGAGGCTGCTATCTCCTCAAACCTTGTTCCTTTCTCAATAACATTTACATTTAGCTTCACACTGTAAAAACATCAATATAGACACACAGTTTCTGGAAAGGACCAGTGTGAAGTGAATTAAACATGTGCCACTCCTATGAATTATGTGACATGTACAGTGGTGCCTCGCAAGACGAAATTAATTCGTTCCGCAAGTCTCTTCGTCTTGCGAATTTTTCGTCTTGCGATGCACGGTTTCCCATAGGAATGCATTGAAAATCAATTAATGCGTTCCTAGGGAAACCGCCTTCAGACCAGGTCCGGGGACAGTCTGTCCCCGGACCTCTTCTGAAGGCTGGGGGGCAAGGGCTTTCTTCCCACCCCCAGCATTTTAAAACCCCGGGACAGCGGAGGACTTCTCCGCTGTCCGGGCGATCTTAAAATGCTGGCGGGCGGCATTTAAAATCACTCCGGGACAGCGGAGGACTTCTCCGCTGTCCGGGGCAATTTAAAGCCCCTGGGAAGGCAGGCAGGGGGACAAAGACTTTGCCCCCGCCAGCCTTCAGAAGAGGTCCTGGACCTCTTCTGAAGGCGGGCGGGGCGAAGTCTTTGCTCCCCGCCTTCAAAAGCCCTCCGGGACAGGCAGGCAGGGGGAGCAAAGACTTTCGCCCCCGCCCGCCTTCAGAAGGTCTTCCCTCCCCGCCCGGCTCGGAGCACCGTTCCGGGCCGGGCGGCGGCGGGAGGTGTTCCCTCCCCCGCCCGGCTCGGAGCACCGTTCCGGGCCGGGCGGCGGCGGCAGGTGTTCCCTCCCCGCCCGGCTCGGAGCACCGTTCCGAGCCGGGCGGCGGCGGCAGGTGTTCCCTCCCCCGCCCGGCTCGGAGGAGCCTTCCGAGCCCGGCGGCGGCGGGAGGAGGTGTCCCCGCCCGCCGCCGGGCTTCGGAGGAGGTCCGAGGACAGTGGGGAAGACGCGCTGCGCTTCCCCGCTGTCCCTGAGATTTCCCTATGGGCTGTCGTCTTGCGAAGCAAGCCCATAGGGAAATTGCTTTATGAGCGCCTCCAAAACGGAAAACCCTTTCGTCTAGCGGGTTTTCCGTCTTGCGAGGCGTTCGTCTTGCGGGGTACCACTGTATAGGAGAGGACAGAATGTTTTCTGTAATTTTGCACTCTGCTTTGGAGAAGGGGGAAAGTGGTTGGAATTCTTCTTGCTGTTTTCTCCAATTCCTAAAAGCAAAGGGAGAACTGAAGGGAGGGCAGTGGTTGTCACTGGCCATGAATAAGCAAAATCCAAATTCATAGAGGCCTGCAAATGCTGTCAACAGTGTGGAGATGGTGGGAGAACAAATTCTTTGCTTCCCTTCAAAGGGAACATTCAAAGGAATGCGGAGAGGATTGGCTGTTACCAAGGGAGGAGATAACTGTCTTCATTAGTGTACAAGTCAAGCTCCAAGATTTTCTTAACTCACTATCTGATTGTGTACATTATACCAGAAAAGACAAGTGGTTGGAAACTTCACTCAGTTCAAAACCCAGCTGGGACTGGCTAATAGGATCGCTAATCTCTACCCTGTCCTTGAACAGCTATCCTGAACTATTTGTCTGTTTCTGGGAACAGCTGAAACCAGAAATTTGGTGCGAACCTCTGAAGTCTTAAATGGCTTGTGCTCTACGTATCTGTTGTGCTGCTTCCTTCCACATGAACCAGCACAGGTCGTCTTCAAAGGCAATAATCCGAGACCCACATATTTTCTGAAGTTTATTAGGTTGACTGGAGTTGAGGTGATCCTGGTTGTACTGTTGATTTCCTCCATTTGTTTTCTTATATCAGGTTGAATTTAATTGTACGCATTTTATGAGTTTTATTTGTTTACTTCCTTGGAAGTCTTAGAACTGAAGGGTCACAGACAAGTTTGTCAATTGCTGTTTGGAGAGCTTTACTTAAAATGCAGTTAAATCTTAAAGTGGGACCAAATAGGAATGGAATCCTGGAGTTAATTCTAATGCAGCTCCAAAACAGTCTTGTTTCTTTTCCCCCCCCTCCCTAATAACTTATTTTTGGTGTGCATTTGACCACTCCCTTGACATTTCATCTGGTTGTCATTTAAGCCCTGGACACCAGAAGAAAGTGAGCAGAACTCCCAAAGGATGGCTTTGAAGAGAAGCTCCTGAGCCTTGGGCTCTACAAAACAAGTGTGTGGAATATTATAGTTTAGCTGCTGTTATGCTATAAACTGCTGAGCTGACCCTTACCAGGGGGTGGGTGGGTACAGGGCAGTTTCTAAGTGTGAATTCCCAGCTGTGTTTGGGAAAGCTATTCCACTACTAGACTGAATTAAAACTTTTAGATAGATTATTTTATATGCTGCTTGTAAGCTACACCCTCCGCACATGTCCTATGATAGTACCAGTCTTAGCTCAGATTAGTGGGGAACTTAACCTGAGCTGTGCCCTGTCTTTGAGGGGCTCGCTCTGAGCAGTGATTAATGTCTAGGACTTGAGCTGGGGGGCGGAGTACAATAGTGCCCTATGTGCTGTTGTTCATTACCTTCCACATATGTTCCAAGGCGTTGTATGGAATCTGATACAACAGCAATCATTCAAATAAGCTGTTCCCAAGCTGTATAGGGCTGTATATGTTAGTATCAAAACTTTGAACTTGGCCTTGTAGCAAATTGGCAGCCAGTGCAGATCTCTCAGACTCTCTAGATCCTTTTCATGTGTAGAACTGGCAAGCCAAGTGTCCCCATCTTATAATAGTGCAGCTTGTTCTTCCTGCCTAAGTGTAGAACCTGACATTTGTCCCTATTGAAATTCATTTGTTTGTTTGGGCTCAGTTCTCCAATCTGTTAAGGTCTCCTTGAATCCCAATTCTGTCTTCTACGGCATTAGCTATCCCTCCCAGTTTGGTGTCATCTGCAGATTTGATGAGCATTCCCTTAGTTCAAGCATGGCCAAACTTGGCCCTCCAGCTGTTTTGGGACTACAACTCCCATCACCCCTAGCTAACAGGACCAGTGGTCAGGGATGATGTGTATTCCCAAAACAGCTGGAGGGCCAGGTTTGGCCATGCCTGCCTAAGTAATTTATAAAGACAAACTAGCAATGAGCTCAGGACAGAATCCTGCGGCACCCCACTTGTTACTTTTTTCCAGGAGGATGCGGAACCAGCTACAAATCCACCTGAATCCTAGCAGACATCAATAATACAAAAAAAGTCCATACCTTTGTCAGCATTACGGTGATTGCAAGTGGATGGTAGATCTGAAGCAGAGGTCTGTATGCTGCCCCTTGACCCCATTGGAGCATGTACAGAACTGGGCTAAGGGAGACCATATGATTCTTAGCATAGGCAGATATTTTGTGAATCCCAAAATCTACATCAGCTTTGAATTAGGTTAGTGCAATTCTGTGTTGGCTCCCCCTAACCAGCCAAGATACACTTTGGTTGCAAATAGTTGTGTGTGTGCCCAATGGAAGGTTTGCATCTCAGAAATAACAGTTCTATGAACAAATCCAGCTTGCATGTTGACCTCCAGGGCCGCTGGTGTAATGATCCATCTGTTAGATCTGAAGTGTGCCTTAGGGAAAGCTGTCCTGGTCAAACACTTTAGGAAGGAAGGTTTAAAGGCAGAGCACAAAAATACTTAAAGGTTGTTTAGGTTTTTTGTATTTATCTGGCATTGTTTTGCAATGTTTTGTCTAATCAGCCGTCACAGCATTTATTTGATGAACACTACAGTCATACCTCGGGTTGAAGTCGTTTCAGGTTGAGCATTTTTGGGTTGCGCTCTGCGGCGACCCGGAAGTAACGGAGCACGTTACTTCCGGGTTTCGCCGCATGTGCAGACGCTCAAAATGACGACCCACGCAGATGCGGGTTGCATTCGCTTCAGGATGCGAACAGGGCTCTGGAACGGATCCCGTTTACATCCAGAGGTACCACTGTACATTGAATATTTTTGTATTTGTTTTTGACTGACCTAGCCATTACAGTTTTAACAAATGCAATACAGGCAGATTTTTAGATGGCAGGCCTTTTCATTACATTTGCCAAAAGGGATTGCTAGTAATAATGATGAAATCTCATCCCTTGAAGGAATGAACTGCAGATCTTTAATAGAATAAAATACAGTAGATGTAGCAATACTGTTTCTTATTTCTTATGTGTCCAAAATAAAGCAAGGTGTTATGTGATATAAAGCATAAAAGCAGCAATACCAAAACATGCCCAAAAGCTTTTACAGTCTTGCATAAGGGGGTGGGGAGAAGGTGCACAAGAAGGCACCTGCAGTACAGTCCTGTTTCTTTGTACTTGGAAGTAAGCTCCATGGTGATAGTAGTGTTTACTCTCTGTTAAGTGTTTCTGCAATTTTAGTCCAGCCTAAGTTAAATTAATACTATTTCTGAAGTGCCTGGAATGGTATTTGGTTGCTTAGAGATACCTGTTGATGCAGCCTAGAATAGCATTAGCTTTCCCCTCCTGCTGCATCAACTGTTGACTCATGCTAAGCTACTGAGAACTCCTACATCCATTTCACATGTAGTACTGGCCATCTAGGTGTCCCCCCATCTTATATTTGTGCCGCTAGTTCTTCCTTCCTGTGTGTAGAACTTTACATTTGTCTCTAGTGAAATTCACTTTGTTAGTTGGGGAGCAGTTCTCCAATCTGCTAAGGTCATTTTGAATCCCGATTCTGTCTTCAGCGGCATTAGCTATCTCTCCCAGTTTAGTGTCACCTGCAAATTTGACAAGGTTCCCCTCAATACCTCCATCCAAGTAATTTATAAAGATGTTGAACAAAAATGGGCATGGGATAGAGCCCTGCAGCACTCCACTTTTTACTTATTTCCCAGATGACAATGAACTGTTAGCGAGCACTCTTTGTGTTCAGTCAGTCAACCAGCTACAAATCCACCTAACAGTTATATCGTCCAGTACACATTTTACTAGCTTCTTACAAGAATATCATTGGGGAATTTGTCAAAGACTTGCTTTGATACGCTAAGTCCACAGCATTCCCATGATTCACCATGCTTGTAACTAAAAAAATAAATAAATAAATTAAGAGATCCGCCTGGCTTGACTTCTTTTTCAGAAACCCATGCTGGGTCTTAGTACAGGTGGTGAACATTTTAGGCATGTTCTAATGTTGTGTGATAACTGACATGTGGGTCCTTTTGGACCCAGAAGAGGGAAGAATGGGGAACTGGCCATTGCCTGCAATCACAGTCGTTCTTTTCTATGTGCTCAAAGACTGAGCCAATGTGCAGTTGTTTACATATTTCCAGAAATGGCTGTGATGTATATTATGTGTACATCAGTTTTGTAAAGAATCCCAACAGTTTTTAATAGCCTATTGGAGACCAGCAGAGAAAAGGCAAAAAATATCATTTTCTGTGTTCAGAGGAGGGCTCCCTTCCTCTGGCAGCCCATTTTGTTTCTATGCTGGGCATAGAACTACTCCATCCCTTCTATGCCAGCCCACCTGCATGGAGTTCCTTTGTTACACTCCTGGTCTGTGTGAAGCAAAACAAGCCATGATCGTGGGTTTGCATGTAATGACAAGCCAAGGTTTGCTAACTCCTGACATGGAGCCAGGGAGTAGTGAAATGGGGACTTTTGAGCAGTTTTAATGAATCACAACTAGTTTTGGCCCATATTGAGTCAGAACCAACATTTGCCTCATTTATTTGTGTATTGAGCTTTGTTAATTTGCGTGCTGGGATTTCGAGTGTTGCCATTTATATTGAAATATAAATCTGCTTGAAAACACAAGAAGGTTCATAATTAACTCATTTCTCTCTCTTCCCTTCCTGTAGCATCAGCAGTACCATAATGGATGTAGACAGCACAATTTCCAGTGGACGCTCAACTCCAGTTATGATGAATGGACAAGGAGTTACAGCTTCATCAGCAAAAAGTATTGCTTATAACTGCTGCTGGGACCAGTGCCATTCTTGCTTCAACTCAAGCCCAGATCTGGCAGACCACATTCGCTCCATACATGTAGACGGCCAGCGAGGAGGGGTTGGTTTACTTTTTCATTGCTCTTCCATGCTATTTGTACTGTGTGCATTGAGAGTTAATAACTGCTGCTGCTCAATAAAATGCCAATCATTTTTGGAAGCCACCTGGTCCTCTAGTGACAATGCTGGATCCAGGAGACCACCAGATGACAGATCTCTTCCTTCAGAGGGAGTGCCATTTTGTCTAGAGCAGGCTGAATTCCCAATTCCTGGAAATGCCAGCCGTCCATCAGCATTGCCTCCATCTTGCCTTTATTCAGCTTCCTGTCTTTTTGAGAGAGGTGGGGATTTTTCTCACTCTCTTTTTTTTGGGAAAATAATATTTATTACTTTTCCAACAATTTAAACACTACAAAAACAATACAATACAAAAACACTACATAACACTAACACATTAAACACATTAAACTAACAAAACAAAACAAAAACAATTTAAAACACATCAAACTATTTCAATATCTTATCTTTCATTCACTTATTTCCACGACCTCCTCACACCTCCCTTTTTGTATTCCACTTCTGTTAATTGTTTCAGCAATTCCTTTCCATCTTCCTCTGCTTTCTGTCTTTTAATTATCTTAACAGATTCTAACCTTATTTTTCCCTTTAATAATACTCTATTAATCTATTTATACTTAATTCCTTGTAACATTTCTACTAAAGCCATATATCTTCATTCCAACATTTTTCTAACATTCATTAATTTTACAGTATTTCTGTAAATAGTCTTTAAACTTTTTCCAGTCTTCTTCCACCGACTCTTTATTTTTCTCACTCTCACTTTGGTGTGTGGAAAGTAAGAAACACTTGGAGAAATGCCTGCTGTTGTTTCTTGCTGCCTCCAGACCACTGAACGAGAGAATTGGGAGAAGAGATATAAACTGACACTTGTCGCTAGCAAGTAAGATTTGTAGATGTCTGAAGTTAAGAGGTGACTTATCTAATTTGGAATTTTGCAGCTTGATAAAGAGAAGGCCGGGAGTAGTGTTTAGGACTGGTTTTCTTTCACGTTAGTTTGTGTTCCTTAATGTAGCTTTTCTTCTTTTGCATCAGCAGTTTAGATTTTGGTTTTGTAACTTGGAGTTTGGAGACGAGGCAACCTGTTTTCAACATAGCATACATAGAAGTGGAAGAATAAATGAAAAGCAAAATGCTCACTTTAAAAGAGGACAAACAGCTGTCTTCATAACCTGAATAATTAAAGCATAGAATCCTTTTCTAGTATAAGGCTTTTGGACTTCAGCCGCACCAATGGCAGGGGTCTCCACACAAATAAAATGGTAGCTATCTGCAGTTTCTGTGATGGAACAAGGAGACTGTTATCAAATAGAAAAGAACGTTTCTCCCTAAATACACCCCAAGTATCCCACAGTTCTATGAAATACACTGTATCCCTTTCTCAGGACTGCTGTTAAGAATGTAAGTCATGCCATTCTTAGCCAGATCAGCAGTCTTACCTAACTGAAGCTGAATCCTGGTAAGTCTGAAAGTTGTAGCTTGATGGTTTCTGGGTCCAGGAATTGTGTGTTCTTCGTGGAGTTCTGCCCCCACCCCAGGATCATCTTACAGCTAGCAACGTACTGCCTAAATATGGGCACACAGGTTTTTTCAGTATCTTTCATGGTAACCAGCAACAGACCTGTGTTTGCTTAATTTAGTTAAGAGGTGGCTAATCAGCAGGCTGTATATGGCCTCCCAAAATTTGTCATACATATACATTTACACACACACATACACTTGTGTGTGAATTTTTGGCAGACCTCTCCTGCAAGTCCCCTGCTGTTGATTCTGTGATGCTAAAAGGATTTTGTGCTCTCTAAGGACTCCCCACCCCCAGTTTCCTTTTTTAAGGTCCCTACGGGACCGCCTCTCCTGGTAATGCCCCACAGAGGAACCTACGGTCTGCAAATAAAAACATCCTGAAGGTCCCAGGCCTCAGAGAGGTTAGGCTGGCCTCAACCAGAGCCAGGGCTTTCTCGGCTGCGGCTACAATCTGGTGGAACGCTCTGTCACAAGAGACTAGGGCCCTGCGGGACCTGACATCTTTCCGCAAGGCCTGCAAGACAGAGTTGTTCCACCAGGCCTTTGATCAGGGCCCAGCCTGACTCCCTCCTCTGGTAACCTGCACAGAAGTTTGCTTAACGGTTGCCATTAATTTGATTTTAATTAATTTTTATAATGAAATGTTTTAGAATGTTGGATTATTTGATTGTTTGATTATTTGATTGTTGTTAGCCGCCCTGAGCCTGGCTTTGGCTGGGGAGGGCGGGATATAAATAAAATTTATTATTATTATTATTATTATTATTATTATTAAAAGGGAAGGCACTTTCACTTTGATGTGGCCCTGAGAGTCTTGATGCCCTTGGCTCAAAAAAAAAAAGGGTGATTATTACGTACCCTTCACTCTAGGGCTAGCCACCCATGATTTATATCTTTTTAAAGTTGTCCTTAATCCCATGATTTTTCACATAATTGCTAATTGAATTTTAGAGGTAATGACCACCACAAATATTTGCTTCCTCTAATGATGAATATTTAGGGTCCCGATGTTAATTTCTTGATCTTGATTTTTATATTCTTCCCATTTTAAAGGAGTTCATTCCATGTATCATGATTTAGCCATGTGGCTGACACAAGTATTAGTCTCTTGCAACAAAAACCATCAATCCTGTGACACCTTAAATACTAATGATTTATTACGGCATCAGTTTTCATGAACTCAAGTTACCAAACTTCCTCAAAAGCCTTTCATAAGGAACTGAGTTGTATGCTGTCCATACATTGTTGGAACAGACTTAGCTTGGATCTCAGTCTTCCTTTTGTCCCCCATGCAGCCCTTTGTGCACCCTCAAAATCAGCTCTAGAGGGTTTTACGTGTCTTTTTAATAAAGCTGTTGATAGTGTACTGTGTCACTTCCTTGGATTGTGATTGTCCAGTCCTCAAACTAAAAATTTACCAGCATCCTTAGTCTTTATAACCTGCTGGTGGTTCTCTTCTATTTGCATGTTTTCTGTTCTCTTAGCTCAAAAGTGTTTGTTTTTTTTAAAAAAATGCACATTCTTTCCCAACAGAAATCTGTCATGTTTTCTAACACCAAATTGAATTACAGCTGTAGAAAACATTAGAGGAAACAATTTCACACTTCACTTGAGAGTTTTAACAGTTGAACTGGGAGTGTACTTGAGTTTGGATATTAAAATCATGCAATAGGTGAACATTCACCCTACCTTAATGGTTGTGTTTTCTTTTACTAGGTATTTGTCTGCTTATGGAAAGGCTGCAAAGTCTATAACACCCCGTCAACAAGTCAGAGCTGGTTGCAGCGGCATATGCTGACGCACAGTGGTGACAAACCATTTAAGGTAAGATAGCTTTTGGAATATTGTCGGTAACGCCTAATAATCCTAACTAGTTTAAATTTGGTGGCTGTCCGTTGCCTGTGTACTCATCAACTTCTGATCTCAGTTTGAGGGCAATCAACATCCAAATCCTCACCCCAGCCCATGATATTCTGAACCAGATCCTTCCGACCATTTGATTCCATGAAAAGTTTCTATTTTGGTTTGATTCGAGTAGAACCAATTTATCTTCTACAGTCTTAATTTCTCTTAAATTTAATTGCCCAGTTCTCCCTACGTAGTCCTATTCATGCAGTTCTGCCTGTGCAGATAGCCCTGAGGGTGGAAAAGACACATTTCAGAAGATCTTTATCCTTTTTTTATTTCATGACTACATTTCCCAGTAGCTGTGTGTATCACTACCATGGGCACCACATGCAGCCACTCATTTGCAGCCTATCTAATCAGGCCACTTAACTCATGTGATTTTGCAGTTTGGGGATTATTCAGTCAGACTAGATTACTCAGATGCCATTTCTAGAACAGGAATTGAACCCACTTTCAGACTTACTCTTGTTCTCATTTAGATTAAGTGTTCAGTTTAGGATAAGCGTACAATGGTGGGTGTTTTTTTTTACAAAAATGTTCTAAGAATGTAAAGATGTTTGTGTTTAGCTGTCTAACTTAAAGCGAGAACTTTGTAAAAGATACGTCTTAAATGCAGACACTCATCTTCACAAGCAACCATGTTTGATGATCATATTGGCTTGATAAGCAAAGATACGAACAAGTCTTTTGGCCACAGCCCATTTCTTCTTTTGTTCACATGAGCAAGTGAGCAAACCAAGAAGTCTTCTGTTAAGTACTGCTTCCTGTTTAATTTGAACAAGGCAACTGGTTAAGGGTTTTGGATATGAAGTCATGGTTTGAAGTTGTCTTAATAGTTTGGCTTGATGTAGAGCTGTTAAATATAGTTTTCTGATTCAAATGAAATGAGAAAGTATTCTTGAACTTCCTGATATTTCTACTCTTTTTGGAATGCTTTTAATGTATATTTTTTCAAATATTGAACCTCTTCAAGGTTTTCTTAATAGTGAAGTGGTATGAAAATGGTTGATGGAATTGTTGGCTTCCTCCACAAAGGGAGCAGTGAAGGAGCTATGTGCATGCCCACAAGATTCATTCATATTTGTGTTTTAAGCCAAAAGATTATTGTCCAAACCAATTTGGGGTGGTGTTTTGTTAACCTTCAGGTCTAAAAACATCAATATCCAGTTTGGGAGGAGCAAAAATATGCTGCTGTAGGCTAAGGGCAGTATCCAGCTAAACAGTTTTGCTAGTTCAGGCACTTTGGGATGTACAATGGTACTTCCCTTCCTTCTCCCCACATGCCCCCTGAATCTGTTCTGGAGGGTTGTTGGGAAACCCATAACAGATTTTGGGGGAGGGGAAGTTCCTTTGCACAGCTGAAAATGCTTGTGCTAGGAAATCTGTAATGTTGGACGATACCCCAAAACTAAGCTACAGGAAAATTCGGCTTAGCAAAACCTTCAGCCTTGATTTAGTTTTCAGTATAAAATGATTTTCAGTTAGTAGGTAGATAGCACATGCTATTGTGGCTTTCATCTTCTATCGTTGGGGTCCTCTGATCAGGATATATAAACTTAGCTTGTGTGTGAGATGGTATATTAAATGCATATAAAGTTAGGAGCAGGTTAGGGTGTGGGGGCTGGTATAATACTAAGTATGATACTAGATTTGAAGTTCTCCTAACAATGTCACTTTTGGAACCCAAGCAGACAAAATTATATTTTGATAAACTGGGTTACAAAGTACATGCTTCTATCCAAAGAAAACATTTCAGCACAGATGAGAATTCAAAATATCCCTTACTGAGAAACCTTCAGGGAGTAGTAAGGATATGCGTAGCAGCTTTTACTTATCTACTGTATTGACGTTTCTTCTCAGCAGCTTGATGCTATTCAAGGGCAACATGCCCTCAATATCCTTGAACAGCAGACTGCTTGACGTAGTCTGTTCGCTCATACTGGTCTTTGTAATGTCTGCAATTTTTGATGCATATTGTTGGAGCTGGCTCATGTTGCTTGTTTGGAACATTACCACCTAATCCACTTTAACCACAGTACTGAAGGAAATGTGTAGAAAGGAGCCTTAAATTGATTGTAATAAAATTTTCTATAATAGTTTTCTTTAAGGTTTCTTTCTTGGTCAGGAGAACAAGTATTTTACCCATGTGAAATACTCATAGGAATGGGTGGTGGTTGTGTAGCATGCAAGAAAATTTTCCCTTGCATGTGATGTGATTTCAGGATTTTTAAAATTAGAACAAGGCGTATGTTTGCATGGTATAATTGGAATGGATTGAGTGCTCGAGTATTTGGAGGTCAGCTTTGATTCAACTATCATTCCTTGTTAACATACAGAGATCTGCATTAGGGACATCCAGGGAAGAGGAAATTCTTTTTGAAATAAGCAGTTTTTAATATGTTGCCTGAATTTGTTGTTCCTTTGTTAAAGGAGCAGCAGTGCAAAGTGAGAATGAATTGGTAGCTTCCTTATGATGTCTTAATTGAGCATTTCTGATTTTGTATTTCGTAGTGTGTCGTCGGAGGGTGCAATGCGAGCTTTGCCTCTCAGAGTGGGTTGGCTCGTCACGTGCCAACACACTTCAGCCAGCAGAATTCTTCAAAAGTTACCAACCAGCCAAAGGCTAAAGAAGAATCTCCTTCTAAAGCTGGAATGAACAAAAGAAGGAAGTTAAAGAACAAGCGGAGGCGCTCTTTACGTAAGCACATGAAACTTCTACAGTTCTGTAATAAGCAGCATAAACTTTAAAAACTGCCTTTCTTGACTACTTGTCTACTTTTTAGTTATTGGTTTTTTGCTAGCCTATAAATTCCATTGTTTTCAACTTTTGATTTAAGATCTTTTATGTAAGGTACAGGGTGATAAAGATGCTTATATCAGCTGGTCCATTTCCACAACCCGGCCAGCCAGAATAGATGCAAGTACTTCACAGTAGAGGGGAACATTCTGTGGGCCTCCTGAAAAACAGAAGGGATCTGTTCTTTTCTGGACTCGGAGCAGTTATCTAGACTAATGTGTGTCTATAATCATAATATTGTCTAAGTCCAGAAATTGGGTGCACCACAATTTCATAGATGGTAGCTGTACCATACTTTATGTGCCACTGACTTCACAGTATTGTTAGGTTTAAGGAGGTTGGATGTGTGAAGATTTTGGACTCTGCTCTCTTATAGGGCTGATGCCACACTATGTTGGGGAACATTTAACCACTGCTGAAAGACTGAGCCGCAAATAGATAAGGCCAGTGCTGATGTAAAGTTTAAGCATGGTTAAAACTAGCAAGAAAGGGGCATGGGGAATTCATTCTGGACAGGGACCTGATGGTAGGGAGCACAATACTGTGCCTCCATGCTCTTGCTGTCTTAGCCATAGACAAAACAAGTTCACCATTGTGCCTGTACCAATCCATATTCTCAGTGATCCTCAAGGCATGTGAAACTCAATGGGAGGTGGGGAGAGCACTCCCAAACTCATGCACCTGAAGCCCAGTTTAAATACATTAACTGGTGGAAACCCTTCTGACTCACAATAACCCAGCCTTCTGTCTTCTCACGCTCCCACTGTTGTTCCTGTCTCCCAGTGACTGTTCATCCTTAGCTGAGAGTGGCAAAACGAGAACCCTTGTGCTCTTGTGCCAAGGTGCAAGCCCTACATAACCTGGGAAGGGAGGGAGATGAAGCAGCCTCAGTCAGGAGTACCATTGCAGCCAAACACCTTCCAATCAGCTCCATCCCTTCTTGTTTGGTTCATCTTCCTTTAAAAAACAAAAACAGAACTAAGCTTGAATAAATGTTCTTATGGGCTCCTCCTTTAGTCAGAATCCCAACATGGTTAATCTATTTTGGGAACTAATTTAATACTACTACGTCATAAATTAAAAACCAAAATGGCTCTTCTTCCTATTTGTGCTCATTTCAACTTTTCCCATTCTTACGTCCTCCAGGCGTTTTGAACTACAACTCCCATTAGCACAAGCCACAAACAGGGCTGCACTGGCTAGATAGAGTTGATGGGGGTTATGCTCAGTGACACCTGAAGGGCACCCAGTTGGGGAAAGCTAGACCTAAATAATTGTAACATGGTCTCTGGACAAACTGTCAGGCTGTGGGGCCGGTTCATATGTTCGGCATTCTTCACCTGCAGCTTCAAGTGATGATTTGCATGCATTAGCTGACCATCACAAATCAGTGCCACAAGTAGGGTTTTCCTATCCCCTAATGTCAACGTAATATATGTCAGCATTGGAACTGAGTTTGCACATTTGACTGAAAGCAGTATATATGTATATGTGATCAAACTCGTTAAATCAAGCATTTTTAAAAAGAGAAAGCATATGTCATCCACTTTTACCAGCTGAATGTGATACACAATCAACTGCACCACTACATCGTGTTCCATTTTCTCCTTTACAGTATATTTTATTTATTGAAGGCATATCCTGCTCTTCCTCCCATAGCAGCCCAGGGTGGCAAGCAACAATAAATACCCCTTGAAACAGTGTTTCTCAATCCAGGGTCCCAAGCTGTTGGACTAAACATCCCATCATCCATAGCTAGATGGGAATTGCAGTCCAGCAACAGCTGGGGACAGAAATTTGAGAAACACTACCTTAAAAAACAATTCCAATACAAGATGCAGACTGGGAAAGAGCTTAACTTAAAAGTCTTGTTGTCTTCAGTAGGCACTGTAAAGACTGAGACGGCGCCTGTCTACTATTTAAGGGGAGGGAATTCCGGGGGTGGGGTTGTGCCACAACACTAAAGGCCGGATTCCTACATTGTGTGGAACAGACCTCCTGATGAGATGGTATTAGCAGGAGGCCCTCACCTGCAGTGTGCAGTGATCAGTTGGGTATATAAGGGGTGAGATGATCTTTCAGGTATCCTGGTCCCAAGCCATATAGGATTTTATATGCCAAAAGCAGCACCAGTGGCTAATCGGCAGCCAGTGCAATTCTTCAACTGTGGGGTAACTTGTCAGCAATATCCTGCTCCAGTGAACAGCTGAGCCACTGCATTTTGCACCAGCTGCAGCTTCAGGCCAATCTCTAGCCCTAGTTTGGAGGCCACCGGAAGTACCCAGCCTTCTTTGCTTTTTTTTTTTTTTTTTTTTGCATTTGACTTTAGATGAAACTCGATAGTGATGAACCATCACCCTGACTAAGACTTAAAATTTTAGGTTTACAAACATAGTAAAGTGCAGTTCTGTCCTCCTTTGCAGAAGAATTTTACCATTTTTTTCTGCTGGAATTTTAGTAATACTGAAACTACCATAGCTTATTTGCTGAAATGGAAGGTACTTAAAAAAATAATAATATGGGAAATACAATTGCAGCACTTCATTTTACTGCAGAACCTATTAATTTCTTGTTAATTATAATTTCAAGTGTTGCTTCTGTTGCAAACAAAACTGCAGAGTAAAGTTTGTTCCTATAGTTTCGATTAATTTCATTATACGAGTTTTGACTTCTTGGCATTGAACTATTGCATAGTTATGTTATATAAACCAGCAGTACTTGATGTGCAGCACGGTTGAGAAAGCAAGCTTGCCACTCTTGCGGTTGTTGAAAATAAGAGGGAAGCTTGCTAAACAACAAGCTGTAGCTTGCTTTAAAAAAAACTACAAGGTGATGAATAAGGGTTTAAAGCTACCTCTTTCAAAAAATCAAGGCTATCTCAAGCAAAAGGTTTAGAATTAGTTTCCAGTGTTTACATTAGTAGTATCCAGAGAATTGAAACTTGATTCCCCAGTTTTACGTCTTTGTTTCCCTTACTGTTGCAGTAAATGAGTCAGTAAATATATTTATGTGTTTGCTTGTATAGCGAATGTATAAAGTTGAATCAAATGTATTTTTTCCTTTTTCTTGCTGTAGATACCTTCATAACCCAATTACATAAGCAGTCACATGGATGTTTTTAAGCCTATTTGCTCAGTCTTATTTCTGTCCTCGGATTCTCTTGTTCTCAGTACTAAGATTCAATTCAGAGGCCTGCTCTACCCCCTTCACACAATCTTCTTCACTTTCTTTTTGCAGTTTAGCACTGAGCATAATTGTAGTGCCTAAAATTGCTTGTCCTACCTCCAAACCAGAAGATGAAACTTCAGTTTGAATTGTGGTTTCTAATTGTCCGGGTGGTAAGCACTAATTATGGTTTACCGGTTTTGATGTCACAGCAAACTATGGTTGGAGCTAAACTTAAAAGTGGAGGGAAGAAGAGAAGTGTGTGATTCCAGTTTCTGATTTCCCAGACCATGGTTTGGAGAACTGTTTTAATTGAGCTAAGACATTGGTACAGTCTGTTGAAGTAGAATATCAGTAGCAGTTGAACAGTGCTGAAGTAGTCATCTGCAGTTTTTATTCCATCTATTCAGAATATTTTCAATTTCTAGCATTTTAAGCAAACTAGCATAATGTGAGTGGAAGGTATTTTAGGCAGAACTTGCATAATTAAAAACACTCCTAGTGATGTATAATTTTTATACATCTAAAATGAAATGTTCTGAAGATTTGGCAGTTAACATTATATATAGGTAAGAACTCATCTAAGTTTAATCTTAAACTGTTCTAAATTGCTTGTTTTTGAGGTATGTATATTTAAAGATTTGTCTAGATCTTTTAAGATTTCATTTCCCAAGGTTGCTCAAAAGTTTTCTCTTAGTCAGTGGAACACAATTATATGGTCCATAATAATAACTTTTAGTACAAAATGAATGAAAGCAAATTACACTGATTCGTATAGACTGCCAACTAATGATTTCGTAGGCCTAGAAGGATGTTGATTCTTCCTCAGCTAAAACTGTAAGTTTAAGGCTTGTTTTTATGAAAAGAACTGGCACATCCCGTATTTTTCCATGTATAAGCCTAGGTTTTTTAACCAAAAACTCAGGTTTAAAATTGGGGCTCGTCTGATACACTGGTAGTGCTGAGGGGTGTTTTCCTTAATTTGGAGTACACAAAAATAGGGGGCGTCTTATACATGGGGGCATCTTATACACGGAAAAATATGGTACTTATTTTGCTTTTGTTTATGTGTATCATGTGATGTAGAAGACTTAGTTCACAGTATTCTGTTTTGTAAATTGTAAGATGCTTTAGGGGGGTGTTCTGTTTAAGCAACTATAATTTTCTTGGATGAATCTGCCGGTTTGTTGGTCACCTTTTTATTATAATATCATCTGAAATATATTATAAGATTCATTGCTAAGTTTGCCCCCGAAGCAGAGAGAATACTGGAATGTTACGCAAATCAGAATGTTGCTGGTTGTAAATGTGATAAACCTGTTTTTTGTTACTTTTGTTTTTGTTTTGCTTTGCTTTAAGTGGAATTTGGGATATGAATGACTTGTATATCTTTGCTGATGTCTTTATTGTGCAAATTACAACTGTTCTGAGATTGGTCAATAACTTTTTCTTTTCTTTAAGAACTGATGCTGATTAGATATTGTTAACAAGATTCCACCAGGTGTAAATGATTAAGAAATTTTCCCCATCATAATGCTCATAAAATACATTGATTTTGCCTACTTTGCTTTCCTGCTTTTTAAGTTTATAATTCAAAAGGGCAGCCATCATATTAATTTTAATAGAGAAATTTAAATTTATATAATGCCCTACAGGCAAGGCTTGCATGTGAATAAAAACCTTTTGTACTGAGTATTTGGTTATTATTGCTCTTTTGAGTTTATATAATTGAAGCAATTCTAGTATGATTTTGTTCTTCTGTAACCTTTTGAAAGAGTCTGTATATAAGACAGAACCTTCAGTTGAATGTACTATCCTGAAGAAATTGCTCATTTCTAAAGGCTATCTCACTGCTACTTAAGTGCAGTTACAGGGACTGCCTGTCTTCAGTTTATAAGCACCATTTTCCTTAGTGTTGGTTGTGTTAAGTTTGGACAGAATAGATTTAGAGAGAAGCACAGTTCAAATAGGATGACATCTATAAGATGCTTGCCCATCCTAAAAGCAAATGTATTGAACATTTCAGTTGGTTTAGGGAGTTGTTCCGAAGCTGATCAGAATTTATTTTTAACTGGTAAACTTTGTTCATGATAGAATATGACCATTGTAGCTTGAATATTTGAATACTTAACATTCTTCCATTAGTTTTGAAGGCTTTTTTTCTTTTTTTAGCAAGACCACATGACTTCTTTGATGCGCAGACTCTGGACGCCATACGACATCGAGCTATCTGCTTCAACCTTTCTGCTCACATAGAAAGTTTAGGAAAAGGCCACAGTGTCGTATTTCACAGTACTGTAAGTATTCTTCCGTACTTACCTTAATAAGATGTTCAGCTTTTATATACTGCTTAGATATGTGCATGTCCACATGTTCATGGCAGATTACATTTTCACAGCATTTTGATTGCTCAAAATGTTCCTTATACAGGAATGGTAGTAAGACACTTTGCAGGAGGTTATATTTTGCACTTCTTGACAGCAATCCTGTGAAATAGGTTAGGCTGAGAGGAACTGACCTAGACCCAAAGTCACTAAATGGGAGTCATGGCTAAACGAGATTTTGAACTTGGCTTTCTCAGGTCTCTAGGTTTCCTTCAAACCCAGTTGCCTGTGATGTCTCAATTTCGCATACTGTGGTTAATGCTATCCTCAGTTTGCAAAACATGGACATCATAGAAACTATAGTCTTCTGTCATTGCTTGCATTTGAAGAGGGAAAGAAATTACAAAGTAGCAGTGGGACAAAGCTTTAGCTCTGTTCCCTGTGTTATACTGCTCCTGCTGGATGCTTATGAGTTCAGCTGTAACTGGGGGGAGCCCTTTTCTATTTGCCGAGGCTCCTCTGCACCACACAGAATCCTGACCTTCCATTGCTCTAAATCACTCAGGAGTCTTCATGACTAGAAAAAGCTCCCATCACAGAAGTTGCAGCTGAGTTGTGAGCGAGTAGCCTTCATGAACCAGCCGGAGCATTGCAACAGTGGGGCTGTGGCTTCAATTACAGCACTGCAGCCCTTTGTACCTCCTTTCCCTTTCCATGTGAGTTATTACTGAAGAGTGCTTGAGGTTAGAGGACATCTGGGAATGGAGGAGTTAAGTATGTGATCCCTCAGCACGTTCCAAGCCTTCAGAACATGGAATAGAGCAGGGGCGGGGAATCGTTTTCAGTGAGGACCTCATTCCTTTGTTGACAAATTTACAGGGATTGCATGGCATAGGTGCATGGAGCACTGATCTCCATCCTGGCAAACGACAGATGTTTAGGCCAGGCACCCCCAACCTTTGGCCCCCCAGATGTTTTGGACTACAGTTCCCATCATCCCTGACCACTGGTCCTCTTAGCTAGGGATCATGGGAGTTGTAGGCCAAAGCATCTGGAGGGCTGAAGGTTGGGGGTACCTGGTTTAGGCAGTGAAGGTACCAAACTCACCTGCCCTGCAGTGGACATCATATCTTTTCATTAAAAACCTGGCTTATCTGAAAGGGATTTGCCGACACTGCAAGTCACATGATTTGTGTTTTTTGAGAAGCCCTGTGCAAAAGGCTTTGTAAGACTATGATCAGTTTAGGACTTGCAGAGCACTTTGAAACATGCTTTGTGGGCTCTACATTTCAGACTTTTCAGGGAAAAAGGGGATCACTTGGTGTCATTATGATGGCAAGTGATTGACCAGTCTACCTACCTGTCAAACTTGGCCCAAGTGAGGGTGGGGGAGATAACGATGGGGACCACTAGCCAGGTCCCATTAACCAATGGTTTAAGGACACATTCCAGACAGGCAAAAGTACTTGAGCATGGTGCAGAGCATGGCTGGTGAGATGTGTGGGATGGGGAGACACATGTCCTGGGGAGAGTCTGGAGGGACACATTGAAAGCCTTTTAGAATGGCTGCATTTGACTCCTGGGTCTGAGGTTCACTTCCCCTGATCAGAGCAGTAGCAGTTGCAAAGGAAACTTGGAGGTGCACCACGACAAACTTGGGGGAAAGAATTATGTCAACAAGGATAACTGGGTCTAAGCCATATAACAAACAGAATGACAGACTTCAAAATAAAAATTAAAATGCCAGCTCTCTTATAGTTTCTGCATTTGCATTTCTGCTCTTCTCCAGAAGAGGTCAGCAGAATTCCATTTACCGGTACTTAGGTCTAACCTTAATTCCCAGTTGGAGCGGACCTTTTATAGATCTGTGCTTTAAAATTGAACAGTTTCTTTTGCATAGGAGAACTCCAGTTCTTCTTCATGATGTTTGCAGTCCCACCTCCCCCTTGAGCCAGTTCAGAGTCAGTTCCAGGAATGTTCTAGAGCTTCATTAAAGGAGGTGATTCTTCTTCCACAAGAGTTTTGTGGCTGTCTCCCCATGCTTCTAGAGATGAGACAAACACCTTCCCTCTCAATTCTGCACTCGTGCATCCCTTACAACCAGCAAGCTTTGGACAGAAATTTAAAAGGCAAACTGCATAAAAACATTGGGGATAAAAGCACATGGTCTTGTGTTACCATTTCCTTGGTGCAGCAGTAGGAAAGCAATGCAATACTGACATGTTACATGTCTTTTCAACTATTATTTTTCTGAGGAAATGCTGTCTAGCAGTGTCCCCATAGAATAATAGCTGTAGCGCTAGTAAGGGACCACAAGGGTCATGTTCCTTTGTAACGTCTCATTTGTGTCTAAGACTCCCATACATATATCGTATACAAACACAAACACACCACATTGTGTTAATATTGGAATGCATTAGACTGAAGGCAGAAGCTAGTAGTGGTCCCCAGCACCACCATATGCACCCAGGAATTGGCTGCAATAATGTAATAAATAACTTCCTTGCCATTTTCAAGTTTGTAGTTAACATTAATTATAAAGAATATTTTCTGGTAAAAGGTTATAGAATTGTAGAGTTGGAAGGGACCTCTAGAGGAATCCAGTCCAACCCCACTGCAGTGCAGGACTCTCAACTAAAGCATCCATGGCAGCTGGACATCCAGCCTCTGCTTAAAATCCTCCAAGGAAGTCCACAACCTCCTGAGGGAGTCTGTTCCACTGTTGAACAGTTCTTACTGTTAGAAAGTTCTTCCTGATGTTTAGTCAGAATCTCCTTTCTTGTAACTTGAAGCCATTGGTTCGAGTGCTTACCCTCTGGAGCAGGAGAAAACAAGCTTGTTCCCTCTTCCATGTCTCAGCTCTTAAGATAATTTGAAAATGGCTATCATATCTCCTCTTAGTCTCCTCTTTCTCATGCTAAACGTACTCAGTTCCCTCAACTGTTCCTCATGAGGTTTGATTTCCTGACACAGCTCTGTCCTCCCTTCCCTTTACCTATGTATTCCCCCCTGCAAGTATTTCACATGATGAAGAGACTTGAAAACAATACTAGGCCTACAGATATTAAAAGTGTGTGCAAAGTCTATACTTCTGTTCTTATTGATTCAATTTGCCTAATTTATTCCAGTTGTACAGTGTTGTTAGCAGAGTGATAAGAAACTTTCCATGTGTGGTTATGAGTGCCAGTCAACAAATTTTAGCCCAATAATTTTGACTGTTGTTTTTAGGTAATAGCTAAGAGAAAAGAGGAGTCTGGAAAGATAAAGCTGCTACTTCACTGGACACCAGAGGATATGTGAGTATGGGAGCAAGCCTATGCACAAGAAATGCCGCAAAGCAAGCTGGTGTAAGCTACACCAGATTCAAATTCCATTTAGCATTGGGCTGGCTGCTGCTGCACTACTTAAGCTTGGCAGAGGGGAAAAAGAGTTCTATGCCATATTGCCAGTTCACATGAACAGGCTTAGGATCCAGTCCAGCCCCTGAAACACCACTTTGAGGGGACTAAAAACTGGAAGCAACTTAGAAATTGGCAAGCTATGCCAGTGTCTCTTCAGCTGAGCTGAGGTTGGGGATGCCAACTTGAGCCAGAGATCTGCTGCATCCCAAGTCTATCATCCTAGCAGATTTTGCTGTGGGATTGCTCATGCATGCATGCACTGAAGAGTCAACTGTATATTAGTGCATCTACGTCCATTGCTGTTTCACGTGTTTTGCTATCATTATGAAAAACACTGGCCTGGGAAGATTGCAATTTCCTTACAATTCTCCTGACTTGTTGAAACTGCAATTCATTTTATATGCAATATTCTAAGCTATTTGTGCTTATTGGATGCAGGACAGCTTTTATTTCTGTTTAAAGCTAGTTTTTTGTGGTGTGCAAATGGAAGTATGGCCACTATGAGGAAGAGGCACTTCTTAAACCAAGAGTAGTTGCATTGGTTGTCTCATCATGATATACCGGTAAGTTGAATTATAATGGATGCTGATGGTTGAATCCATGCTCTTGCACAGGCTAGGATTTTCATTGCCAAAAGAAGTTAAAACATTTCTACTTTATGGCTTAGCATCTCAAAAACCTATGAGAGTCATGTGCAGGATCTAGCAGTATTCTCATCTTTCGGATGACAAGGAGAACAGGAAAGCCCTATACTCTGATCCTTTTGGTAATTTCTAATGGTCCATGGCTGTTTCATCAGGTGTATACAGTGCCTCCTCGTGTGCAATGCTGCCATCACTTTGCATTAAGTAGAATCCTGAGAATACGCATGTTGTCATTGTCATTGAGTGGTTATCCAACATTGGTTCCCTTAGTTCATGTGTAAGCTAAGCAAGGCTATTACTACTGAAAACCATTCCACTCATAGACCATGTTCATTGTCTAATCTGACGGTAGTTCACATTCATTGGTGAGAATTTTGTTTTTAAATGTCATTTAGAACATCTATGTTTGGGGAAAAAGGTTGACTTTTTTTAAATTTTTTGTAATTCATAGTCTTCCTGATGTGTGGGTAAATGAAAGTGAGCGACATCAGTTAAAAACTAAAGTAGTTCATTTATCAAAACTACCAAAAGATGCTGCCTTGCTTCTGGACCCAAACATATACAGGTAACTTCTAAATTTTTTATTGTTCTCTTCTCATTATGAACTTAAGCCTCGCTTGACTTTTTGAAGCTGATGCCAAAAATAGTAATGCTGGTAGCTTAAGTTTTATTTATCATTTGATTAATTTGATTTATATCCTCACTTTCCTACTGAAGGAGCCATGGGCGGAAGACCCAGCAGTGATAAAACATAAAAAACACAACTAAAAAGAATTGAAAAATATTCTAACAGTTAATGCCTGCATATGTCTTCAGTTTCTTTTTAGTCAGTCAAGTAGACCTCGAAGTATTCTTAATTTCACCTTAGTTTTATTGCCAGAAGTTAGAGAAAGTAAATAGCATTTGATACACCAATACATCAACTTCCAACAAAAACAGCATCAAAAAGTTAAGTTTTGAGGTTTGAGATCATTTTAACAGTTCTTAAACTGTAGTGACAGGAAAAGGGAATGTGTATATTTACCAAGTGTATTTTACTTTTTTGTGCTTGGTGTACAGAAAGTCTAGTAAAGGAGGTACACACAGTGGAATCCTGAAAGATCACTTCTGTTAAGATCATGCTGGTTTGTATACCAATTTTTGTATACCAACTTTTAAAAGTCCAAATTTATCTTCTCATATATATTTTAATAAATATATGCTAATTATTCTTGGCCTGTAATACACGTGGTATTACTCTGAAATCTGTGCTCAGTGCAATTTTTAAATTTGAAAATAATTTTCTTTCCACTTTGGGGAGAGGGGGTGGTCAGCTCTTGTACCCTGTTTTTGAGCATCAGGTGCTGCTTGAGATTTGATTCTCTATCTAAATCTGCTTCTTAAAAGCAGATTTGCTTCCTTTATATTAATGCCTAAAGGTGCCCACCACTAAATCTTCTGTACATTTCCCCCCCAAAGATACTCTGAAATGTTTTAAAAGAAAACTGTTGTATTGAATATATGGTGCATATTCAAAACAAAACTTTCTCCTGTCATAGGAAACCTCTGTGTTCCTGCACTTTTTAAACTGCTGTTGTCAATCAAAGATTAAGAGCAGGAACTGCTTAACAGAAGAGCATACCTTCTTCCTTTCTTCTTCTTTTTCTTCTTTTGAATACTGGAAGCCCTTGGTTCAACCCCCAGTGAGTCAGTTAGTAGGCATGGGAAGAACGCCATCCTTAAAGAACTCCATCGAGCCCAGCACTAGAGCTTAAGGGTAGCTTGATGCTGTATCAGGAAGCTTCATGTGTTTACGAATCATTATACCACACCTTTTCCCCTGACGCAATTTGATATATGAGGCTATATACTTTTATGGACATTTGTATGGGACCCCAAGCCAGGTGGGGAACACGTGAGTTGGGGTGTTGATGTCCAGTAAGCCTTTCCACTTACCTTTTATTTCTCATATTTTCGATTAATCAGCTTCAGTTTTGCCTTGGGGAAGTGCACGCTGCTATCAAATGCGCTATGCAACACAAGTAATCATGACTGATATAAACACAAAGCAGTCAGTCACGAGTGTTTTACCCTGTTACACTGGCCCTGTGGGTTTTCAGATGTACATGATGCAGTGATGAAATGTGTTCCAGCTGTTTTGAGGAGATTTAAACTGCAATCCAAACCACACTTGCTTTGAAATAAATGGCATTACAATAAATGGTTAGGATCCAACCCCTCCCCCTCCCCGTATCAGTTTCTTAAAACTCCTGAAGAGCTTCCCAGCAGCTTGGAGGGCCCCCTGCATCAGCACCCCATGTGGTGTGGGGCTGCCACTGAATTGGAAAAATCACCCAAACCCAATGTAGCACTGAAACACTGTGTGCACTAGACCAGGTATAGGCAAACTCTGCTCTCCAGATGTTTTGGGACTACAACTCCCATGATTCCTAGCTAACAGGACCAGTGGTCGGGGATGATGGGAGTTGTAGTCTCAAGACATCTGGAGGGCCGATTTTGCCTATGCCTGCACTAGACTCTCTGGATTCTTGCCATTAAGATTTCCAAGTTAATGTACTCACTCTTGGATAATGAAACTTTTTGTTGTTGCTGCCAGTTTTTTCAGTCTTCATAAAATACATTTGCTAATATTTTTTTGAAATGTTTACAGTGTTTTCTTAACATTTTGGCTCCTGCAACCAAGGTAAAGTTCACTTTTGGTTAAAAAAAATATGGTGAGCATCAGAAATAAAACGGGAACACACATGACCGAAGACATGTACTGGAGATTCTGTGCTGGCCATGAATTGCTGCCATGTGAAAAACGAAAAACAGAATCCTGTTGCAAAATTGAGGTTGTGACTCCTGATCTTTATTTGGGTAGTGTGCACATTTTCTAAGGGGCCACTGCTCATAATTTCTGAACCACATTAGAACATTTTCACATGACACATCCATGTCTGAAGAGCTGTCTAGTACCAGAGTGCGACATTTCTGCACAGCTGGAGAAAGGACTCTGGAGGCTCTTTGCTGTTCCGAGTTTCCCTTAAACTTGGCTGCTTGTCCAAACTTGGGATTGTGGTTTATCACGTACTGTGGTTGGCTTCAAAACGACCCACAATAATTAGTGATAAAACCACAAGCCCCAATTCATACGTAAGGGCAAACTGAGTTCCAGGGGAAGCAAAATGAAGATTTCTGAAGCCTTTCTCCTGGTTGCATGGGACCAGGAGAAAAGGAAGCGGGCCTTTCATGCCCAGGGCTCACATGGATGATTCCAGCTTGCACACATCAGGCTGAATGCGATTTAACGTGGCACGCAGACACAGCCATTGAAGAGAGTGTCATTTGTGAACCCGTTAACCAGTGCATGTTAAGTTTCCTTGACGCTTTTTGGGGAAGCTACCAATGCAATGTTTCCTTTTCCTCCCTAGAACAATGCCACAGAAGAGGTTGAAGAGGTAAAAGCGAGCTCAGCGCGGGCACCTCATCTATCATCTTATTCACTGACGGTGGAATTAGAATTGAAAATGCACATTAGTCAAGCCCCTCCACCTTATGTTCTTCCCCTGCGCCCGGCTGCCACCAACTATTTACGCTTGGCAAACCATTCTGTGAATGAATTCGGTGCATCTATGGAATATATTATATACATGGAACAGATCCTATATATCTGTACGATGGGAGATGAGGAAAGCAAAATATACTGGCAGTATAGTGGGTGTTCTCAAAGGCTTTGCATGCTTGCAGCTTTTATTTTAGCAGCCTCTCCCACCCCACCCCCCCTGTATCGGATGAACTGGCAATTAATACATTGCCCTGTACAACCCTCCCTGTAGTGGTGGTTGTTGGGTTTTTTTGTAAGCAAGCTTCTTGGGATCTTGTCATTTGGTAAATGAAATAAATACACACTAGAGAGGGAACTCTTCTCTCAAGAGTATGGTGCGAAGTAATCCATTGTCACTTTCGTGAACTTGTCGTCGCATAACAAGTGGTGGTATCATGTTTAAGCAAAATGGTGGTGGCATATTTTCATTTCTGGTGGAATATACGTTCAAGAGGAACAGGTCGGTGTTAAGTGTTGCTGTATATCTGATCCTCTCCATAAGGACTATTACTCTATGTTAGTAAGACTTAACTTTAATAACCTCTACAGAAGAAGGTAGCAATGTTGTTTTGTTTACTACTTGGCCTTTAAAACTCCTCTTTGCTACTAAAGAAATCTCCCTTCTCCTTCCCCCTCCTTTTGGCTTAAATTTTTCTAGTTGTAAAAAAATTGTATTTTTTAAAAAAGAAGCATTTAAAAATACAATCGTTTATGCACCAAAGTTGGCTATGAAAAGAAAATTAAATTGCTTCCTGGCTTTACTAAGCAAGAAATTATGGACTTCTTTTAACCTACAGGAATAGAAAAATATGTGTTACCATGTTCGTCTTATAGAGACAAAAGAGAGAGAGAGAGAAATAGATAGATAATGGGACATTGCTTGTAAAATAATTTTGCAGATTTGTAATATATTTTTATATTATGAAATGTATTGTAGATGTTTTTTCTAGAGGCATGGAAGTTGAGATGTATATATTATGGTAGAAATAATATGGAAGGATATTGTAATTCATTAGTGCTGCCAGAAGAATTTGTTTAAAAGCAAGCACCTTTCCTAACAATAATAATAAAAAAAATGTCTCTTGGATTTCTAAGAGCCTATATACTACTGTTGTAAAAACAAAAAACACATTGAACATCCTTCCAGAAATCCTTCGGATTTTTACAGCGCTCATTGCTGGTAAGGGATATGAAATCATTCTTTTCCTTGCTTGTTGGAAGGAACAAATGTAAAAAAAAAATATTATATGGTGGCTATATGCAGTCAAACTGCATGATTAACCCTCCATGTTTAGGAGGTTTTTTTTTTTTTTGGCATTACTACAGTGAATATAAATACCAGCTGTTTTTACACTAATTTTTTTATTATTAAATAGCAAAAAACAAAACTCTAGACTCTCTGCTTGGAGAACTTGGCTTTTCCAATACCATAAATTGGGGTCTACATTAATGAAGATGAGATGCTTGCTTGGCTCCCATTGAGTCTAGAATGGTCTATATACATTTGAATTCCTCATCAATGTGTGGATTATAAGCACCACTAACATGGAATGGTTCTGGAATAGTCGTTTAATAATGGTATTTCATAAAGATCTGTAGCAATGTTACTATTTTTAAAAAAATGCAGTTCGTTATTTTTATTTCTTATTTTTTAATTTTGCTTGAGCACTTCAGTTACCGCTTAAACTTATATGGTCATCTGCAATTACTTTGATTCTTTTTTTTTAAAAAAAGTTATAAAATTGCCAAATAGGTGTTTTCAGATATAGTTTGTATTTGTATTTTTTAATTTTATTTCTTTTTGCATTCATTGTATACCATTCTTAATTGACAGATGATTGTAGACCCTGCCTGAGTATTTTTTCTAATAAAACAACGCAAATATAAGTATGTCTCAAGCGTCTAAATGTTAGCTGCTGTAACAGGCTTTTTATAACTGGCGTCAAAGATACAAATTAAATACTAGCTTTCGTCTGATTAAGTGTTCTGTGCACTAGGATAGCACCGTTTGTGTATTATTATTATTATTATTAATAATAATAATAATAAAAAGAGGAAGGTTTTGATGGCAGCTATCCATGCATAGAGAGGGACGCGGGTGGCTCTGTGGTCTAAACCACTGAGCCTTGGGCTTGCCAATTGGAAGGTTGGCGGTTCGAATCCGCGCGATGGGGTGAGCTCCTGTTGCTCGGTCCCAGTTCCTGCCAACCTAGCAGTTCTAAAGCAAGCCAAAGTACAAGTAGATTAATAGTTGCCGCTCTGGCAAGAAGGTAAACGGTGTTTCCATGCACTGCTCTGGTTCACCAGAAGCGGCTTAGTCATGCTGGCCACATGTCCCGGAAAAACTGCAGACAAACGTCGGCTCCCTCAGCCAGTAAAGCTAGATGAGCGCCGCAACCCTAGAGTCGTCTGTGACTGGACTGAACTGTCAGGGGTCCCTTTACCTTTTTTATCCATGCATAGAGATGTGCAGCCAAGGAATTGAGAATAATCAAGGCTAAGCTTCCTAATGGCTTGTTCAGCTCAACACCTAGTTCGGCAGATCAATCCTACTACACTTAGAAATGTGTACTTCCTGGGTAGCAGAAGGAAAGGTGCAGAGTTTGTGTAAAAACAGCAGAAAAGAGGAAAAAGTGAATTTCCCATCAAGGCAGGGGATAGGAACCTGTGGTGTTCCAGATGTTGGATTCCCAACCTCAAGTCAGCCCCAGCTAGCATAGCCAGGTTGTAGGGAAGGGTGGAGTAAAGGGTAGTCTCTCTCCTCTTCTTCAGAATTCTCTCCTAAAATGTAGGATTCTTGAGGGTCCTTAGTAGTCGTCTGTTGTTTTTCCTATTTGTTTCAGGGCCTTGGCTCTACATGTCATAACACCTCCAGACAGGACACACATCTCTCTGCTGCCCCTTTGGTATTTATTGACGGGTCAGGAAAACTTGCTTCTGTGCTTGCTTTGGCAGCACATATACTAGAAAAACTTGCTTCAAGGCCAGGCAGCTCCTCAGTGGAGGTCACCCCACAGGGACCCTCCGTTTGGGTCAGTTGAGCCAGTTTACAGTTAAGAACGGATGCGGGTGGGGGGGCTGTGGGTTAAATCACAGAGCCTAGGACTTGCCAATCAGAAGGTCAGCGGTTTGAATCCCCGCGACGGGGTGAGCTCCCGTTGCTTGGTTCCTTCTCCTGCCCACCTAGCAGTTCGAAAGCACGTCAAAGTGCAAGTAGATAAATAGGTACTGCTCCTGCGGGAAGGTAAACGGCGTTTCCGTGTGCTGCTCTGGTACTCCAGAAGCGGCTTAGTCATGCTGGCCACATGACCCGGAAGCTGTACGCTGGCTCCCTCGGCCAATAAAGCGAGATGAGCGCTGCAACCCCAGAGTCGGCCATGACTGGACCTAATGGTCAGGGCTCCCTTTACCTTTACAGTTAAGAAAAGTAAAAAATTGAATGCCTGAAGGGATCATATTTGCTAACTCCAGCCTATTGCCATATTATCAAAAGAGTTCCTGACTTTCCACTTTATGCAAAGACAAGAGAGCCCAGTTGTTCAATAGTTAAGTCAAAGGCATAGAATAAAATGGGAAACTAGGCATTACATCAGGGTTTTCCAAACTTGGGTGTGCAGCTGTTTCTGGACTACACTTCCCATCATCCCTGACCACTGGTCCTGCTAGCTAGGGATGATGGGAGTTGTAGTCCAAAAACAGCTGCACGCCCAAGTTTGGGGAACACTGCTCTACATGATAAAATAAGGTGTCTGGGTAGCCTTGTAACAGGGTAGGCTGAGTAGGAACAATAACAGCACAGACCCCTGCGTGTGTGGGGGGGGGGAGAGATTGGGGACTATACAATTGACCCAGCCCTGTAGAAAGATGCTTCCTTTTGCACTCAGGGTGAAGGAAGATTCCAGGAGTGTGTATAGGAACCTACAAAACTGCCTTACTCCAAGTCAGACAAATGACCCATATATATTGTCTCAGTATTGTTCCTCAGATTGATGGTCAGATGGGGTGGGCATAGGAGGCAGGGCTTGTATGCCCCTATTTCCCTCTCCAATTTAAACCCTTAAAATTCTAGGGGACATTTGAATGGGGCTAGATCATTGGTGGAATAGATCTCCACGTTGACTGGCAAAATAAAATACGGTGTTGCACTGCAAGTACACAGCCAGACTAAATGATCTTACTCTCGAATGAATGATCAGGTACACATTTTTTTATCAGTTTTCTGTCTGATGATTCTGCTGAGTATTTAATCTTTAATAATAACCAACCCTCAAAAGAATGGCTGATTGCTCTCAACCTTTTTTTTTATGGGAATGGAGAGGGTTAATTTGAAGTTCCGACATGCAGGCAAGATTCACCATAGCCTTTTTTCATCCCTTAAGTGGAAGGAGTAGATCAGCAGGAAGCAAGTGTCACTCGACTTGTATGCATTAATAATAGGTTGTCTCTGCGGGAAAGTTCCCAAATGATGGGCAAGTCACTCAGAAAGCTTATGTACAACAGAGCAACATGTTCACATAAGCAGTGCCACAAGAGGGTGCACTTCACCTTTGCTAGGATCCTTCCATTCGCCAGAGGTGCCTTGGGGGGGGGCTTCCTGACTCTTCCAACCCCTTTCCCCAGCCATTGCTTAGAGCGTAAAGCCCTATCTAGCAGTCATGAGAGGACCCCTTTTATTTTAAAGAAGTATTTGTATACCGCCAATATTTTATATCAAGGTGGTATACAAAGCTATGTATCCAATAAAACACGAAACACCATTTTAAGAGTACAAAATAATCATTAAAATGACCGGCTAGTCAAGAACAGTTTTTTAAAAACAGCTGCCTAGGCCTGTTGGCATAAGAAGGTCTTTAGGAGATGCCTGGAAGTCGAAAGTGAGGGAGCCTGTCAAATCTCTAGTGGAAGAGTACAGCATTGGACCAGCAACAATCAAGAGATGCAACGGAGTGCATCTCTGGGTGATCTCTGTGATGAAGCTGGGATGGAAAGGCTCAAGTGGGACTTAAGGTATCCTGGACCCCAAGTGGTCCATCAACACAAGAGCCTTGAACTTGGCAGCATCTGGGAAGCCAGTGTAGATTTTTTAACAGGGGCACCGCATGCAGTCTAGCTGCTGCATTCTGCAATAGTTGGAGTTTCTGGACCAGGCTCCAGGGCAGCCCCATATCTCGAGTTTACCAGTGCATGGAGTAAAGTGGTGAAGTGGCTTATGGTGGCACGTTATCCCAGTTACAGCTCACGTATCAAACATCCCAGCCGCAGAGATCACTTGTGTCTCCAATGACAAAGATGTATCTAGGAGTCTCCCAAGCTATGCACGAGTTCCTTTAGAGCAGCCTTTCTCAACCCGTGGGTCCCCAGATGTTGAACTACAACTCTCATCATCCCTAGCCAGCATGACCAGTGGTCAGGGATGGTGGGAGTTGTAGTCCAACAACATCTGGGGACCCACAGGTTGAGAACGGCTGCTTTATTTATTTTTTTTTAAATGATATTTGTTAAGCATTTTAAAGTTACAAAAAAAACAACAAAGAAACAAAGAAGAAAAAAACAAGGGAAAAGCAAACAGCAGTCAAACCATACAAATCAATAAAAATAAAAAAGAGGAAAAAAAACAAAGACAAAACACATCAAAATCCAAAAAACAAAAGTAAACCACAAACAATTAAAAACAGATCCAATATTCCCAAATCCTTAACTGTCATTGCCTTATTTCATCGACCTCCTCAAACCTCCCTTTTTTGTATTCCAGTTATTAATTATAACAGCAAATCCTTCCCATTTTTCATAATATTCTGTCATTAAATTACCTTAATCTATTTTAACCTTATCTTACTATAAAAGACCCTAAAACTTAAAATTTAAATCTTATTTATACCAATTTCTCATAACCATAACATATTCTTGCATAGTTCTTTTTAACATTTCTGCTAAAGCCAAATAGTTTCGTTCCAACATTTTTCTAATACTCATTAATTTTACAAAACAATCCTAAATAGAATTTTTAAAAAAAACTTTCTTCCAATCTTCCTCCAACGTCTCTTCCTCCTGGTCCCGGGTTTTGTCAGTCCTTTCTGTCTCATCCATTTAGCTCATTAACCTGGTAATCTTATGTCCGAGGCCCTTAAGTCTCTTCCATGTCCCTTCCGCAGATCCTCTTCATATTTATACCTGTACTTTACTTTGTCTCCTGGTCCTTTCACTCGTGGAAACTCCAACTTGACAGTATTTTTGTCCCTTCTCGACAGATCAGCCCCTTTTCCATAATCCACACTGAACTCCATGTGGTATTTAAAAGCATGTTTCAAAGTCCCTCCAAAGTTGAGGACCCCCACAACCCCAAACTCCTCACGGCCCATTGCCAGACTTGGAAAGTCAAGACATCCCTGCATAGGGGGGTCCATCCAGCCCCCCATCTCCAAGCCCAACAAAACTCTTATCTCTCCAAATCTGACTTTTACCAAGTTCATTTGTCAAATCCAACAACTCATGTTCCTGCTGGGCCACAGCTCCCTCCATCTCTGCCACCCGAGGTCCAACAACGATCTCCTCCCTCATCTGATCTGTCAGAGCACACTCCTGAGTTGATTCTTGGGTGGGTTCTATATAGATACCCACTACCTGTCCAAAATTTCTGATCGCAACAGTCATCAAATCCGTCTTCTCATGTAACTTCCAATAAAGCACTTGTCTTACAGAAAGCACGCACCAGAGCCTCTGAATACATTGTTATGCAAGGTCAGAAGTCTGTTCCCACGATCTTAATCTGTTTGCAGCTGCGAAGCTCCCCAGTTCAAGTTTAATAACAGTTTCACAAGCTCCCTCTAGGGGAAGAACTTCTATTTGTATCAATCTCTTTTTTTTTTTTTAACAACGGAT